CCAGCAAGATGAAAGTGGAGGGATTGCTCGTAAAGTGGGTTGTGTTAGAATCAGACATGGAGTAGGGCAGGTGTCCAATTCTGAGATAGAACGACGTCTCCTACATGTAGTATACACTCCTCTGTCTTCTTGTATGCTCCCCGGGTCTACGGTGATGGTTGTAGTATAAAAGCCTGGATGGAGAGATAAAGTTAATTTGAGAGACCATGTGCACTGCTGGAGGTTGTTCTTGTAAGTGAAGTAAATCGGTTGCTCGTCAGCCACTAACACATGATATTTTCATTATTCATAGCCTTCGATGTGAATATTCAAGGCAGGGGAAATTACAAAGCCAATTTTCCCTGACATTGACATTGACATTGACAATTTCACATCCAACACTATAAATGGGAAACATTCACCATGACTCAGTAGGTGTTATTAATACAGGTCCTACAATTGGCTGGTAATAACTTTGCTGTTATAGATACTGTTATTTCCATTTCAAATCATCTGATGAAGTGGGTGTTGCTCATGCAAGCTCATGGTCTTGTGTATTAGTTAGTCTCTACGATGTCACAGCTGGATGGGGGAAGCAATTTGGAAATGTGGGAAAGGGAATTACAATGGAAATGGAAAGTTATAAAAATTGAGGAGACACTAAAAAATATCAAAGAATAAATCCATGTTTGGCCAGGCAAAGGAGCACAGAAAAGCGGCTCTTCAGCATAGAACAACAGAAATCCTAGGAAAGAGACCGGACAATATCGAGAGGGGAAAAGGAAACATATATTTGCTTTGCCTTTGGAAAGAAGCATACAACTGTGTATTGTCTAATGTGGTAGGTGCCATCATGAACTACCCATGCCCCTGTGCTAGGTATATTGGCCAAACTGGACATTGTCTTTGACAAAGGATTAATGGACACAAACCAGACATCACAGAAACACACAGAAATCTGGAGGGGAACATTTTAACCTGCCCGATCACTCTGACATTTATTTAAAAGTAGCCATTTTTCTATAGGAATTTCAGGAACCAATTACAGAGAGGGGGGCAGAAGAGGAATTCACCGACGGTGCGTCTATCTAGCACCGTAAACTCAGAATAAGATATCTCGAATTTAGTTTAAAATAGCTTATTTTGAAATTTGGCACATCTAGTCAGCGCTTAATTTTGAAATAACACACTTATTCGAATAGTGATAGAAATGTAGCCGTGTTAGTCTGGGGTAGCTGAAGCAAAATGCAGGACAATGTAGCACTTTAAAGACTAACAAGATGGTTTATTAGATGATGAGCTTTCGTGGGCCAGACCCACTTCCTCAGATCAAATAATGGAAGAAAACAGTCACAACCATATATACCAAAGGATACAATTAAAAAAAAAGTGAACACATATGAAAAGGACAAATCACATTTCAGAACAGGAGGGGGATGCAGGGGAGGGGGGAAAGGAAGGAAGGTAAGAGTCTGTGAATTGATGATATTAGAGGTGGGGAGAGTAGTGGGATGTTTGTGAGTTAATGGTAATTGGGGAAGCTATCTTGATAATGGGTAAGATAGTTCAAGTGTTTGTTCAATCCTCTTTGGAGAGTGTCGAATTTTAACATGAATGACAGTTCAGAGGATTCCCTTTCAAGTGCAGATGTAAAAGGTCTTTGTAGCAGAATGCAGGTGGCTAAGTCATTTAGAGAGTGTCCTTTCTGGTTAAAGTGGCAAGAAACTGTTTTCTCTTTGTGATCTTGTCTGATATCTGTTTTGTGGGCATTAATCCTTTGGCGAAGTGTCTGAGATGTTTGTCCAATGTACATAGCAGACGGACACTTTCGGCACACGATAGCATAGATTATATTTCTGGATGCGCAGGAATATGTGTTCTTGATCTTATAACTCACTTGGTTAGGTCCAATAATGGTATCAGCAGAATGAATATGTGGACAAAGCTGACACTCTTCTCAAACCCTTCGTAACCAATACCCCCAGCTATCTCCGAGACACTACTGACTTCCTAAGGAAACTACAAAACATTTCGAGCCATCCCTTAACGCTCGTACTACAAGGTTTATGGGATGGTGAAATAGTGCACCTGTTCTTTCTAAAGATATGGGGTGGCTTCTGTCCACAGAGGGTAGCCATTTCTGGTATCCCGAAATAGCTGTGCAGTGTAGATGTATCCTTCAGATGTGACACTGTTACCCTGGGCTTGAATAAAGACATTAACTGGTTAGCACATACTAAAGCCGCTTTCTCCTGCCTTTAACATCTGCATTTCCACACGAAAAGCCATGTATGGGACACATCCAGCCCCACTTCCTTATCCTCAGTAACACAGGTCCTACAATTACCAGGAACTTCTGCTGTTATACATTTCTCTCGGTTCCTGTTAGTTCCACTCCAACTCATCTGATGAAGTGACGTTTGCGCACAAAAGCTCATGAGTCTATGTGTTTTGGTTAGTCTCCAAGGTAACCCAGGACTACTCGTTGTTCATGTCACCGAAGGTAGCGAAACACTTTCCACCCCATTTACTGTCAAGGAGCGGGTTAAGCAGCATTTACAATAGAACCTTAGAATTCTGAACACCTGAGTTATAAACTGATGGAAGAACCTAACATCTCAGTCAGAACCAGAAATGCACAATCAAGAAGCAAGGCAAATATAGGGCAGCTCTCTGTTACACAGAAATTACCAACAAAAAAGAGAAAAATTAATAAAAATGTTAACAACAAATTGAAAAAATGGAATGGGATTCATTACAAAGGGCTAGGAATAGAGTTCAAGCCAGTCAACGCCATGGCTTATGGAAGGTGAGTCATGTCCAAATAAACTCGATGGCATCAGCAGTTCTCCAGCCTTTATACTGGGGATCCCTGTCCCACAGCAAGTACCAGGGCATGATCCTCCTTATAAATTACAGCACATTTATACATTTAACACCATTAGAAATGCTGGAGGCAAAGCGGGATTTGGATGGAGATGGACAGTTTACGCTTTCCCTCTCCCCCTCCGCCCCGCCTCAGTAATCTTCCAACCCTCCAACTCTCAGTTTGAAACCTCCTGCTGTAATGAGAGCACATATTTGAATATCCCATTGGGGGTACATTCTCAGAAGCAAACACATAAGTCACAGAGGGTGCTGGCATTCCTCTACTCAGTGCTAGTCAGATCTCTGCTGGAGTGCTGTGTCCGGTTTGGGTCACCGCTTTATGGGCAGATTATAGAGAATCTGGAAATGACCCCAAGTCCAAAGCTAAAGATCCAAGGGAGGGAACACAGAGCCTAGGAATTTACGTCAACATGTTTATTAATGATCTTGATGAGTGGATGTATTGCACCCTCGGCAAGTTTGCAGATGACACTAAGCTTGGGGGAGTGGTAGATACCCCGGAGAGCAGATATAGGGTCCAGAGTAACCCTGGAGAGCAGATATAGGGTCCAGAGTAACCCTGGAGAGCAGATATAGGGTCCAGAGTAACCCTGGAGAGCAGATATAGGGTCCAGAGTAACCCTGGAGAGCAGATATAGGGTCCAGAGTAACCCTGGAGAGCAGATATAGGGTCCAGAGTAACCCTGGAGAGCAGATATAGGGTCCAGAGTAACCCTGGAGAGCAGATATAGGGTCCAGAGTAACCCTGGAGAGCAGATATAGGGTCCAGAGTAACCCTGGAGAGCAGATATAGGGTCCAGAGTAACCCTGGAGAGCAGATATAGGGTCCAGAGTAACCCTGGAGAGCAGATATAGGGTCCAGAGTAACCCTGGAGAGCAGATATAGGGTCCAGAGTAACCCTGGAGAGCAGATATAGGGTCCAGAGTAACCCTGGAGAGCAGATATAGGGTCCAGAGTAACCCTGGAGAGCAGATATAGGGTCCAGAGTAACCCTGGAGAGCAGATATAGGGTCCAGAGTAACCCTGGAGAGCAGATATAGGGTCCAGAGTAACCCTGGAGAGCAGATATAGGGTCCAGAGTAACCCTGGAGAGCAGATATAGGGTCCAGAGTAACCCTGGAGAGCAGATATAGGGTCCAGAGTAACCCTGGAGAGCAGATATAGGGTCCAGAGTAACCCTGGAGAGCAGATATAGGGTCCAGAGTAACCCTGGAGAGCAGATATAGGGTCCAGAGTAACCCTGGAGAGCAGATATAGGGTCCAGAGTAACCCTGGAGAGCAGATATAGGGTCCAGAGTAACCCTGGAGAGCAGATATAGGGTCCAGAGTAACCCTGGAGAGCAGATATAGGGTCCAGGATTGGGCCAAAATAAATCTGATGAGGTTAACCAGTTCTGGGGCCCCCACTACAGCAAGGATGTGGACATATTGGGGAGAGTCCAGCAGAGGGTGACCAAAACAGATGGAGAAAAATGTCCCTCTCTGGCCTCAGAGTGCAGGACAAGAGGCGCTGCGGCCAAACTGAATCTCAGCAGCTGTAGGTTAAATCTGAGAGAAAAGTTCTTAGTTGTGTGGGAAAAGTGGCCTTTTCCTTTGTGAGAGTCGAGGAAACTCATCCCCATGACAAGGGCTCTGGGATGTTTAATGGCCGTGCAGAGCAGAAAGGACCCCGGACTGACTATCCTACAATACCCATGTTGCACTGGGTCTGTGGGGCAAGGGAGCCCCTCAGCCAGAGCTGGTACCTGTCAGTGCTGAGAGGGACGTGTCTTCCCTGGGATCCCCCTCAGGCAGCTGCGTCCCGCACCTCTCTCCGCCCAGCGTCCGCAGCAGCGTCCCACGCTGAGAGCCAACTGAGGACCATGCATGGTTTATAATACAACTCTCGCAGTCCCAGTGGGGTTGTCTCAGCCTCGAGGGAAGAAGTAGCGTCTGGATGTAACTAGGCAGGACATCTGGGCTATTTGGACTTCTGGGCTATTAATCCAGCTTTAGGAATAAACAGCAATTAAGAGCCCTTCCCACAGGGAGAGGGGAATTCCTGGGCTCTGGGCTGAGTCAGGGAGGAATTGGATGCTCTGTGTATTTGTGTGTATTTAACTATTGTAATGGA